CTATCTATCTATCTATCTATCTATCTATCTATCTATCTATCTATCTATCTATCTATCTATCTATCTATCTATCTATCTATCTATCTATCACAGTGATGAGTATTACACCTATCGCTAGTAGTAAATCTTAATACAGAATGATAAACAGCCTTCAAAAGCATAATAATAAATAAATAAAATGTCACCATAATTCAACACTGAGAGAAAAGTGCATTTCTTTTTACAGTGTAGTACCAAACATAATTTATTCCTTTAAAAGAAACTTTTACTGCAGTAATTTAATCTTCAGTTTGAACACACGATATTTAAATGTCATTCGTCTGCTTTGTGCATGTCAGAACATCCCAGTTCTGTTCTTCCTAAAAATATGTTTATGTGTTACACTCATGACTCATCATATTGTAGGTGGATTTGATTATGACTTAAAACAGAACTGCAAAACACTTTCCACCACATACAGGGCCGATAGCGAACACTTAATCTACGCAGTGAAAACACTGCAGCCACTTCATGCAAACGCTCGCTGAGCTGCAATGAACAGCAGTTAAACTTAAATGAAGTTATTCCTCATTTCAGCCCCCCAGACACCTGGAAGGACTCCCGTGAGGCCTATGAACTAAACACCACCACATTATCAGCTCCTGAGCTGAACAGGCGACAGTTAGTGAGGGCGACGAGGCCAAGCTGCCAGAAAGAGGTCACTGCCTTCGTTGCTGTGCAAAGCACCAGATGGGAACAATGATTCTTAGTTTTTCTTTCTCTCTGCAACATTCTTTTCTTTTGTTGTTCTCGACATGTGACATGGATAAAATTCCCAGTGTGACCTGTGAGCGAGAGGTTAATCTTTTATAATCTTAAAGCCATTTTATCTCTCAAGCAAAACTGCATTTTCTTACTTGAGTGGACTCGAATGAGGAGAGAGTTGCATCTGAAATGTCTGTTCTGAATTTAAATGTGATGAAGGAAAGTGAAGAATGTTATTCATTTTATATTTAACCACAAGTGATACACACTTTCAACTTTCCCTGTAACACCAAGACTCTACTTTTCTTCTCAAGTCCTCGTTTGGATTTTAAGTTGTTATTGTATTTTGCACAATAGAGATGTAAGTGTAAGTGTTTAGTCAACTGGATCCTCAAGTTGATTCTTCTTTATCATTTGCGTTTTGCACATTTTTGTTCTCATCAGTGTAGTGCACCAATTAATATGTAATCCAACGTATGTGAGTAATATGTTCATTAGGTTTTGCCACATACAATATTCACAAATACCAAGAATGTTGTAATGTACAAATACATTACTTCACTGAAACCTCCTCATTGTTGAGCGTCATTATTCATTCTTGACCTTGTAAACAAAAGGAAAAATTTGCTTCCAACTTAAAGTCTACGTTCTAGTTTCTTCTCCAAGTGTCCACCATGTGACGTCTTCATCTCCATGACAACGTAACTCCATCAGCAACCTTTTAAGCATGAAAGCTGCAGAAAAGGTTTTGTGAGTAGACCTTGACGAGAGATTCTTTAATCATATCTACCATGATTGTTGTCAAATTTCAAATTTATTAAAGAACTGCGAAAAAAATTGTTGAAATTACCAGATGGCAAAGTGAAAAAAGAGAGAGTGGGTTGCAGATTCTGAATAACTGCTGTTAAGTGAGAGAATGTTGTTTCTCTTACAATCTTTTTTTTCTTCTTTTTTTTAAATAAATGACGTCCATCTACAACTAAATTCGTGACAAGAATTCAACAAAGCAACATCGTGTTTGTCAAATGTTTTATCCAAGTCCATATTTTGTCCTTTAAAAATGTTATGTTTCTTGTTTAATTTACTTTTAACTTTGAATGAATGTTGGGTTAAAAATATTGCCAGAGACTGAAGAATAGTGTGATAGAATGAGCAATAATATGAGGTGAGGGCGCAGCTATAGCTCACCTGGTTGAGCTGGCGTCCCATGTATAGGGGGGCTGTAGTCCCCGATGCAGCGGTCATGGGTTTCAATCCCACTTGTGACCCTTTGCTGCAGGTCCTTCCCCCATTCTTCTCCCCCCACTTTCCTGTCTCTCTCTTTGTCCTGTCTAATAAAGCCAAAAAATATCTTAAAAAATAAAATAAATATACATATATATGAGGTGAGAAAAAAATACTTACTGTGGAATGAAGAAATGTGTTGTGTTTGTATGCCAAATAGGCAAGATAACTGTCATATTCGGTGATGTTGTAGTTATGTGTCTTTCTATTATCTATCAGCGTGAACAAAAACAGCACAACAGTGATTTACAGTGAAAACCTTTATTAAGTGTTCATATATTCTTAAAGGAATCTCTTTAATTGCTGTAAGTTAACTTCCTTCTCCATGTTTGCTAATTAATATCTACAGAATATCTATTTACACAGGAACATATCCACACGTGAGGCTGGGACAGGCCGTACTGATTCATCACCACTTGAGTTAAACACTCAGGCACACCAGTTAAACTCCACTACGCTCCCACTGCACCGTGTTACCCTGTATGTCCCAAACGAAACAAAGAGAGAAAGGGAGTCAAAGAGAGAGAGAGAAAAACGGAAAGAGCTGGAGACAAAAGACACACAGATTTAGCTACACCAACAGGACAATTGCGTGTGAGGCTGGCATATCCGTTCCCTAGCCCAACAAACTATTGCACACGTCGCATTCACACCGACACTCACCTACGTGCATGCACGCACTCAGATGCACCCACCGCGCTCCCTAAACACACGCATACAGAATCACACTCACACGGTAGCTAGAAGTCCTGCAGCAGTCAGTCCTAATAGCCACCATCACAGTGTAGATACACAGACTAGAAAATATCAGACTTCTTCTCAAACTGAAGCGCTGTGCAAAGTTAGCTAGCAGGGCGTTGAATGGTTTTAGTTAAAATTCCTAGAACATCTTAAATATTCACTGTACATACTTTGTAATACAAGTTTTGTCTCTTTTTGGATGATAATATTCTTATAAAACAGTCTTAAATATCTTTTTTTTTTTTTTTCCTAGTAAATTAAGGGGAACAAAGGGGGCATATGAGCAACGGAGGAAACGGAAACTTTAATTTCTTTAAACACAATAGATTTACATCAACCCGATATTATCTGAAAATGATTTTTTTTTTCTTTGCACAAATAAAACATGATACGCATTCTGACGGTGACACACACAGCTAAGTGTTAACATAGTTTAATACTTGTAATTACAGAATTTGTTCATGTTTTTTTTTTTAATGTTTGTGAGTGTTTATGTGCAAGTTTGTGTTGTAGTGAGCTGGCGCGTGTGTTTGTGTGTGTGTGTGCGCGTGTTGATGTGTGTGTGTGTGTGTTTTGTCTGTGCTCGCACTGCAAGTGTACAATGTCAACCCTGTGTCTTCTCAGGTAGGTAGTGGGTGGTCCGTACACTTCTCTTCAGGATAACAGTCTCTGCCCCTGCCATGGTCTATGCAGTGTTGTGCAAGGGTCGGACACATTAGGACAGAAGTGCATTGGGCTCCATCTAAGTGCTGGGGATGATGTAGGGACTGCGGGTAGGATGGATGGACTTGAAAATGTTACACTGGGCTTTTGGCAGGTAGATGTGAACGGCAGGCTGGCTGGTTCAGTAGTATTCCTCTCCCCCACAGACCCGGATTGCCTCACTCCTGTAAGCTGATGTTGAGGGACTTGTACTTTATGAAAACAGACACATGGAAATTCAGGAACCTGTAGAAAAGAAAGAGAGAGACAGATGTTTTAAAAGTCCTGGAGAATCATGAACAACTTCTCGATAGATTAGAAAACTGGGTTGGTCATCAGCAACAGATAATACTTAAAGTACTGTGACCAACACTAGTAATTATGAAGAGAACATGACGTGCGGAGTCCCACAAGGATTGACTCTGGGGCCCCTCCTATTCATTGGCTTCCAGCTAGATACAAAATTGAATTTAAGGACTTACTTACTGTCTATATGTCTCTGAATGGCTCAAAATATATCAGCTTTCTACTGAGTAAAAGCCTGCTGGGCCTCTCAGACCTGAATGGAAATGGTCAGCTGATGATTCCCAGAGTTCAAATCAAATAAAGTGTATTGCTCATTTGTGTTCTTTTGCTTGTTGCTGCTGTGCGTGGTTGCATGTACAGAATAGTGTATGAGGCCACTTTTGCTTTTTTTCTGATTGTGGACTGTCCTGTATGTGCTTATTTCAGCAGTTTATGGTCTTATGTTTCTACTGTTTATAGTAACAACAGTGTAGTATGGTAGTATCACACTAACAGGGTCCATTCAACTGCATAGCTCTGGTTACCTGACAAAAGTTATTCTAGAGGCCTTTGTGGGTCCTTTGACTGTTACACTGTTGTGATCCTAAATGTGTTTCTTCTACCTACTTGGTGCACATAATGTTTATCTCTGGTTGCTTGTCCATGTATTAGTCTTGCATTATTGTCTACCCCATGTGTATCTTACATCTTCCTTGTTTTTAGCTTTAGCTTCACACTTATGTACCCCAAATATACTTATATATACTTATACGGCTGATTCTGAAACTATGAATAGAGTTTATTAGCGCAGCAAAACACTCTCACTTTAGTACTTTTTGCTGTTGATACACGTGTATTTTAAGTTAAATCATATTTGCAAATCAACACAATACTTCACTTGTATTGGTGTATTTTTTACATTGTGTTATTGCTGCTTTAACTTGAGTATCCAACTGCTGGATCCTCTGCTGTTTGGAAATGTAATAATGTAAACTGTTTATGCTCTGAGAAAGATATTTACATTGAATTTACACTGTTGTACTGCCCTACATGGCTTACAAACACAACTTAGTCATACATCGGGAGATCTACTTGTATATATTTTATGACGTGTGTTTGTCCTTACTTACCTAAAGATTTGGTTAGGCATTTCCTCCCTCTGCAAAAACAGAAACACATAGGAAAATATAAAACATATCCAAAATATATACAGCACATGACCTACTAACGGAGATTCGCTGTACTGCGCGCAAACACCAGCAGATGGCACCAGGGATGAGCTGATTGGGTAAAGACTACTGTTATTCAGCTACAATGAATTATTCATAAATGGCAGATTCTCCAGAGCTCTAAACTAAGGAGTGGTACATCATCAAGCTGTGCAGTGAGGCTATTTATTGACTGATAATCCCATTCAAGTGTTCCCTTCTCTGACTTTCTTCTATCTTGCCTCATATTTGTCACTTGAAGGTCAACACAGATTGGTGGTTACACGTGCATTTGTTTCACAAGACCCACATCAATCTGAGGAATTGCCAGTCAGTCCTTCCAAGTCCCCTGTGCCCTCTTAACATGTCTTTGCTTTCACTCGTTCCTACTCATTCTTTCACCTCACCTCTCTTTAGCGGTTTGTTGGTTGCCCATGCCTGTCTGGTTCCATTACAGACGACAGGGCATGGACATACTAATCCCATTTCCCACTGGGAGACATACCTGGGTCGAGGTCTTTTCACACTACATCACTGGGGAGAACTGTTAGAGGAGTGATGCAGAATTACATACAGTATGCATGCACACCACTGCATGCCGGGCCAGGCCACTTCTTTGACTAAACCGTCACAGCTACTGACCGTATGAGAAACTTTCGTTGGAAAAGCAAGGTTTATTTTAAGATTCTCTTGCTATCCTTAGATCATAATACAGTCATAGTACAGGAGGGACTTGCATAATAGGTTTATTTGGGAACTTATCTGACTGAATCTTCACTCTATCTTGGTGAAATACACATCATTTGTCAGCAAAAAGGTTAATCAATCTGCCTGGGAAGAGTGTTAACATCACTAAAACACAGCAGTAGCAGCAGGGTGTACAAAACAAAACTGTAAAATAATGACTGATTTAACTTAATATTTCAAAAAAATAGGTGCAAACCCCATCTTTTTCTATTTTAGGTGACACTATGATTGTGACTTTAGTCAAAAGAAAACACAGAGCATTTCATTTTAGTTATGTAATTATTGGGCATGTGGACAAAACAGGAGGCGCTCATTAAGGGGTTAAAACGGGTGCTCATTTATGGTTCAAACTAATTATCTAAAAGAAGGCTCCTGCCGTTCCCTTAATTATATTCAAATTGTAGCTACCGTCGACGCTTTCTAAATTTAGCTTTGCTTTTTTAGAGGCTGCATCAAAAGCTCATTACTTCAAAACCTTGGCTTCTGTTGGTCATAAATACAAGAGCGCACTGAACGCGATCCGTTTATGGATTTAGCTCATCTAATCTATTTCACAGACTATTCTGCGTTTTAACACTCTATTAAGGAGCGTGCATTTTCTATTTTCAGTCCTGGCGAAAGTCACGTGGGGGCGTGATTAATCAAGAGTCAAATCTTAAGGAAGCTTTAAAGTATTCTTATTTGGTCTAAGTGTATGCTTTTTGCCAGCCTCCTACAACACTAACTGCATTAGGGGTTCCACATTAAGATTTATAACCCAATAGAAGATTTAAAAGTGACGGGAATCAGTGCCCACTTTTAGAAACATTTACGGGAGAATCTATGGGAGGAATATTTTCATTTATAATAATACTGGTAACAGTTAAAGAAGCTGTACTTTAGCTTAAAAAACATCATTTTTCTAAGCAGCAGTTCTGTTTTCTTGAGTAAGATGCGGCTCTAAAACTGGCTCTGACTGTCGTGTGCGAGCGTTGATTTAGTTTCCTCAAAGCAGATCGATAAAATATCACATATTATCAGATTAGATAGCGCATCCTCACCCTTGCTTTCAGCCAACAGCTCCTCCGACATGAGTCCATCCTGCCGGTTCCCCAGGACGAAGGCCAGGAAGGAGAGGATGAGGGCGTCCAGGATGCCCATGATAGCCAAGATGTAAGCCCAGCGCACGGAGCAGGCGCCCAGGCTGTATTTGTCCGTCTGCTCTCCGCACATCCGCCGGACCTCGTCGCTATCCCAGCCGTCGGGGTAGATCATACAACCCAGCACCAGACAGACACCTGGCGGGAGGCAGAGAGGGGCAAAATAGGTTAAAGAGAGGTGGCAACATCAGGGGGTAAAGTGGCTAAAAATAGCAAGAGGAAGGTGGAAAAAAAAAAAAAAAGGCATAAGCAGCACAAAAATGAGTTTTATGGAAAAGGGTAGTGTAACAAATGAGCTCAGGGATATTTTGAGCGGAAATGAGAGAAACAGAAGAGGCAGGATCATTTTAAGTGCTTTAAAAACCTCTCTTATATTCTACTCTCTGGAGAATCGGCTGTGTTTATGTGTTATTGCATTTATAACATTGATTTTCATTCCTTCCCTTAGGCGGGCAATAAGTGTCTAGACACAATGTGTGCCAGTGGAAGAGTAAAAACCAGCAGTAAACAACGACTGCAACAGTCACAGCCAGACACAGCTGCAGTAAGAGATTTACAGTGTAGGAACCGCTCTCAGATGTCCTCAATGTCCTGTTTGCATCTTTTTCTGCACAAAGTTGTGGACTTCTTTGTCCTCCTGGATTTTAAGCAGTGATAATATTAGACTAGCTCCTCAATCTTTGCCCAAGGGGTGAAAACTTTCATCTTAATTTTGGCTTTCTCTCATCTTCAGTTTAAAAGCGATTCTTCTCTAAGGTAATGCTGCGGCAGAACGGCACAAGAAAATCGCGAGCCCGTGCCCTTCTTTCTCAGTTTTTGCCCAAAGGGTGAAATTTCTCTCATCTTCCATTTGAATGAGGTTCTCCTCTGAGGTGGTGCTGCAACAGAACAGCAGAAGACCTGGAAAAAGAAGCTGAGTGCACAGTTATCCGGAGCGCATTGCACATTAATAATAAAACAGACTCCCCACTTCTTTATCCCCCAAAAGCTTAGTTGCTTTCAGTGTTTTTGTCCTTGAACGCTGTTTGCTTGTGTATTAAGAGTTTAGGCTTTTGAACGTATGAAATCAGCATTTTTAAGAAGCTGCACGCTGCTCATACGTGAGCATCTTTTAAACGCAAATTTATGTATGCATAACTTATTGGCCGTCGCGCTTTTCTGCGGTTCCTCTTGTCCGCAGCCTTACCAGCAAAAGTGAGAACAAGGCGGTCTTTTCTTATATGCAAACACAAACTGCTCTCATGTATGCATCACAGCACACAAACACTGCAGTTTGTTAGAGTAACACTGCGGCTTTAATCCTCCTGAGATATTTCCAGCACGGTTAGGAGATGTTTCAATGGAAGATAGGATGGAAATTACAGAGCCATACATGCTGCAGACAAAAAGCACACCTAACAGAGGACGGGCTCCTCTTTATCTGCCCCTGGCTCTAACTGTCAAAGCAAATTCATATGCACCTAGTGGTTCAGAGCAAAGCTGTTCTAACTCAGCTGGACGCCCAGGAGCTCTGCAAGTAACCACTGTTTCAGACGTTTCTATGTCATTAAGCACAGAAAAAATAAACTACCTAACATGTATATGAGCAAACAATACACTGTTAAGCCATAGAAATCAGTGCCATAGGCCTGCACTGTAGCAGTAACAGTAGGGTTGTACTACAGCCTTGGTTTTATGAATGAATAGAGTTTATGCCTTTTGATGTCTCCAGGCAGCACTGCTGAATCAAATGACAAGCCCTTTTCACGCAAGAAAGACTTAACTCGGCCCCGACAGGCTGTGGGCTCCGCTGGAACCTATGTCACTCATCCCACCCGAGCTCTATATGTTACAGCATCACTGTCTGTCAGACGTCCTCTGGAGTCTGAGACGTGATTCAGCTGCTTAGCGAGTGTCACTGAGGCCGCTGTGTACATTGTGTCCAGTCAGAGGGCTCTGGTTACGAATGCAGCCAATGAACTGGTCTCCAATCCGTCTGCCTGTCCACCTCTTCCTCTAAGAGGTCAAATCACCAACACACTGACAAAGACGGCCAGTGGTGAGAGAAGCCAGAGAGGAGTTGTTAAATTTACACAAATGTTGCGGTGTTGTTGGAGCGCTGGTAAATAATGTACAACATTTAATCTTCAATCTTTAATCGAAGTCTGTTGACTTTTTGGGGTTTGTTAGCAGTACAAGGTGCTGGACAAACAGCTAATACTACAGCAGGAGCCGGGCTCGGTAGCAGCAGACACCTCTGAGGGGAAGAGAGAGAGAGAGAAAGCTGCATCTGAATGTCTTTAAACTGTTTCCTTAATGTCACGCTCTGTTCACCAAAACTGCAGATTCAGGTGATAATTCTCTGCAGGTTCATCACAATGAATCACCGTATTCAAACAAAAGATTTGAGCTGCTTGAAAAGTCCTGGGACTAAAATAATTCTTCTCACTTTAGCATCTTATCCCTCGGAAATATCCAAATAATCAAATCAGAGCAGATGGAGTGTGAGGGCTGGATTTCGTAGCTGTGAGGACCTTCACATGTTCAGACTTGGGTGGAAAGGCTTAATTGCTTTAGTCACTGATGCTGCCTGGAGAAAGCAAAAGCTAATTTAAGTATGAATTCCATATCAGGCAAAAACGGAACAAAACAAACTAAAATAACAAGATAATAGAATTGATTTTGATTTTTGTCCTGAGTTGGTACCAACACATTAAAACAATCCATCAGCTGTCATCCTTCCTGCTGACCTCAGAAGGAAGCTTCCTGTGTGTGTTTCTTTTGGTTGCTCCCTTATTGGGGATTTGGGAAACAGGCAATCTTAAATAGTGGTGCATTGATATGTTAATAACTTTGTCACCTTGGAACAAAAATGTGAAATTGTGCTTCTCCTAGCTGCATAAACACTTTGTATGTCGTGGGAGTCTATGCACAACATTCGCTGAGCAGAGGGAGTGCCATGGAAGTAACGTTTGATATCTCACCAGTCAATACATATTACCATTCTTTCTCTCCCTTCTGACACGTTTACTACAAAAAGGTAACACAGGCTTTTCCAGATCCTTCTGGGTGCCTCCTGCATGGCTTTGGCTCGATTCAACGCAATCATGAATATTACATAGAGGCTCAGGAGGAGGGAGACGAGGTTCACAGAGCTCTGGGGCCGGTGAGAGGGAAGGAGACGGAGGATGAGGGTGCAGGAAAAAGACAAAACGCTGATAGCATCAGGGGGAAGGAGACCAAAAGAGAACAAGAGATGCATGAGCAGTAAAATATCTGTCACAGTCACTAACACTATCTACTCCGCCTGCCTCTGCAGATAAACATCTCGGAGGGATGCACTGGCCAGGATTACACCAACAGAGGGTGCCACATATGCCGCTCTCGTTTCCAGAAACAGCTTGTGGTAAGAGGACGAGCACATGTCCCCTGCATACACTGTAACAGCAAGCCTGGAGTCAACTAATCCGTAACCACACAACACAACACAACACAACACAAGCGAGCCCATCCAGCACAGTTCTACTTATATAATGAGGCTTCTGTTTTTTTTTCTGCTGTGAATTTTGACTCACACCAAAAGAAGAAAGAAGGGCTTTAGGTTTTGACACTTTCAGAGGCAATTAAAAGGGAATAAAAAAAGGCAAATAGCCTGCATCTGTATAGCGATTTTTAAGCTTAACTAGCTTCTGACAAAAAAGGATTTACACACAGGCTGCCATGCAAGATGCTCCTATGGCTTGAGGAGCAACTTTGGGTTTAAAGTCTTGCCCACGAACACCAACTCTGCATTTAGTGCTCAACCAGCTCTATTGTCTGTAGAACACAGTGGTCTGGCTGCACTTCACCAAGTGCACAAAACACTCTGACTTGTTTTTATTTCTTTAAACCAATCACAGTCATTTGGGGCGGAGCTTAGCAAAGGATGCAGCTTCAGGGTTCCCTCAAAATAGCGATGGGTGGAAGCGTTTTGGTGGAACATTTGCATGCAAAGAGACGAGCGCTGTCATTAAAATGAATAATCCACCCCCCAAAAAAATAAAAAATAGCGGGTCGGCCTTACTGCACGATCCAAAACCTTGGCAAAACTTTGAATATTCAGTGCAGTAGGTTGCTGCCTGGAGGTTGTTGCTGTTGTTTTCCTGTATTTCCTCCGGGAAGCAGAGGATAAAGCCGGCAGACATGAGTGGCCGATAGCAGACTAATACCTGTAATATACACCGTGAGTCAGACTACCATCTGAGCAGCGGCTGCCCCAGGGAGTATGTTAACAACACAAACAAACCAGAAAAAAAAATGACAAAAAACACTACCATGTTTTCATCAAGTTTTAATGTAAGTCCCTCCGTGTTAGATTGCTTGGGTGTTATTTAAAAATTGCTTACTTTGCACCCAAAATACCTCCAACACATGAAGTGTTTTATAATCACAGACTTTGTGTTAGCTCATAGCCAAACACGTCTGAGCAGACTTGTTACCTGCCTCAAACACAATTCTGGAAAATGTCCTGGAATAGATGTTCATGACGCAAACTGAGAGTGAGTCAACCTAAAAGTTAACCCTCCGAATATCTTTGGGGTCAATGTGACCCCATTCAATGTTTAACATCTCTAAATAAGTCAATGACAGAATTTTTTCAGTTGTATTTAAAGGGCTATTTACACATAAACTTGGGTAACTATTTTAATTATTACATTTTCTGGAGGTTTAAATTGCTGAGATCAAATTCAACCCAAGGATACAAGATGTCCGTAAAGTTGAAGGTAATAGGGGGGTTCAATACACTTAGTTATAAAATGAGTTCGAACCCAAAATAGATTTATTAATTCATCCATCCATCCATCCATCCATCCATCAATTATCTATACACCGCTTAATCCTCACTGGGGTCGTGGGGGGGCTGGAGTCTATCCCAGCTGACTTAGGATGAAGGCAGGGGATACCCTGGACAGGTCACCAGTCTATCACAGGGCTACACTTAGAAACAGACAACCAAGCACACTCACATTCACACCTACGGACAATTTAGAATCACCAATTAACCTCAACATGTTTTTGGACTGTGGGAGGAAGCCGGAGAACCCAGAGAGAACCCACGCTGCACGGGGAGAACATGCAAACTCCACACAGAAAGATCCCGGGTGTCCTCACGGGGACGC